ACAATGAAAAGTACTAAAATGTGAGGCAACAACGTTAGTAAATATATGTATGTTTGGCCGAACATCAACACCCCTCACTTAGACTCTTGCTCGTCCTCGAGTAAGCATTAAAATCACTCTCAATAAATCAAGCCTAGGGACACCACCACTTCGGTAGATACTAACAGTTAGGCCCTATAGCAACTCAAATCATAAGATATACGCTTCCTCATCATCGTGCAAGATATACAAGTCATAAACAAACAACAAAATTCTAATCTCCTAACCTTAGAGACGGACTCTAACTTACCAAATTTAAGCTCGCTCACCTATTCTGTCAAAAAAGCTAATAACATCACATATCTATCATGAAGCAAGTGCCCTCACATGAATAAATAGTCCATACTCTCAAATCAAAGAATGAATATAATCTAAGGACTTAGCATCAAAGAACAACTCTCGCACTCACAAAGAAATTTACATGTATGCACAAAGAACCATAGGCTTGCCCATTATGTACATCTCTACTAATTAAGTATGCTCGAATAGAATCAAATAGGACTTTAATGGGTTGTAATATTGGCTAAGGGACGGGTAGGAGAATTGTATAATAGGTACTTACACTTCCCTAAGCACTTTGCATTTTTAGACTTCATCACTCATTATTTTCTACTCTTCACTTTATTTTTCAATCCTCTCTTCATCTATTGTTTCACAAGTATTTCTTCATATCAAGAACGTTTCATTTCTTTTTTCAAAGCAATTTTTTTCTTTTCTTCTCTTGTTTCTTTTCATGTCACATTCTTATTAAGAAGGCCTTGTCATCACCTTTCAGCCATCATTGATCCCATTTTTCACTTAACCATCTCATTCTTCAAATTTATCAATTAATATCTTGGTCTAAGCAACAGTGCCCAAGAAAGCAGGGAGCAAAAACTAGGGATTCAAACAAAAAGATCAAGGCAAAAATACGGCTTACAAACAAAAGGCTACAGGCTCAAAGGGCTAACTAGTGGTACGCTATTTGAAAAGGCTAAAATTCACAAGACATATCAAAAAAAGCCTATTATCATCTTCTAAACAGAGCAACACTTTTATTTCGCTTCAATAACATGCAGGGCAAGTTCTAGACTAAGATGCAAAACATAGAATATATGTAAGAAATCCTTACCACACATGGCACAAGTATCAATCAAGATGGATCAATTCTACTCTGAGACAGACAGGATCATAGCGAATAACAAAATAAGAATAAGATATATACAGAGTCACAACCTTAAGCTTAGGTGTCAGAAAGTCTGCTATTTTATTCATTACTCGAGCACTCAGAGGAAAGTACTACTCAAACTCAGGCCTAAATATGCTAGTATCAAACAACTCACTAAGGTTTTTCTTCTCGTAAAAAAAATCTAATCCTAAAAATAAAAGAAGTTTACCCGGTTCAAATTACATCCCCTAGAAAAGAACTGATGCACAAAGAAAAACCAAGGGGGATTATTACCTAACTAAAACTAACTAGAACAAAAAAAAAATTTGGATTTTTTTTATTTAATTGGACCTTAATCCCTCAAGAAAGTTGTCCACAAAATCCATCATCAGGAAAAGTCCTAATTTTTTGATTTTTTCTTTTCTTTTTTTTTTCTTTTTTTTCTTTTTTTTTTCTTTAACCAAAACTACTGCACTAAAAATGAGTACTACAACTAAGCATTAGCAGCTCATGGTAGGCCAAAGGCTGAAGCATTAGCACCTCATGGGATACTCAGACTTCTCCCATGTATGATCCCTTGTACGGGTACCTCACACTTAGTTTCAACCACCTGCTCGCTTTCGCACATTCCTATTGGCTTTGACTCCATGCTCCTACTCCTACAAAACACAAAAACAATACGACAAAAAAAAATAGAATTGGGTTGCCTCCCAACAAGTGCTTGATTTAACGTCGTGGCACGACGCCATCACTTTCACCACTTTTCCTTCCACTTTGAGATATAAATTGCGCCCCTAATTTTGCATCAACTTTTGTATCTGGGGCGGTGGTGTAAAAATAAAGGAACCAAGTAATAGGTATCGCATCTTGCACTTCTTGCCCTTTAAGTGAGGAATGTCGTTTTGTCTCCTTGGTGTGGCAAATTTCAGAATATATGGGTCTTGTTCTTCATCTATACATCTCTCTAAAGGCTCCATATCCATGTCTCCATCCAAACATAATGTAGAAAAATAATTAGAATGAGGACCAACATGCCCCAACTACAAAACTGTATTATTTTTGACATCCTCAATAATATATACTTCCTCAACCTACATCATCAACAAGAACATGGTTTAATAATTGGTATTCTCGTTTTAACTCCTCAATTTGACCTAGAAGATCTTTTTCAGCTTCACACAACTCATCACTAAGTTGTTGGGCATTACACGCATCAATCTTTGCACTCAATTGAGCCTCCAAGTCGCAAATAGAACTGCCAAATTGGTCGATCTCTTGTCCCAATTCAACACTTCTTTCAATAAAGTGTTGTATCTCATTTGTAATTTTCTCACGGAAACCCCCATATTCCTCTAATAATTTCATGTGCAAATCAAGAATGCGAACATCTTGTTCTATATCATCCAATTCGTCACTCCTGTCAAACTCACAAGAATTATTAGAATCAACATAAGAAGGGATTGGAGTAGGATAACAACACTTAGGACAATTATTTCAATTTTCATCACAAATAGTATAAGATGGAGATGGTGCACATAACTCGGTATTTGAAATATTTTTACAATATTGCCACAAGTGGGGTCCTTTACAATATGGACAAAGATCACAAAAACAAGAATACTTACTATCCCACCACTTTTCTTTCAAAGATGCCATGTAAAAAAAATATAATACTAACGACACTAAATAAAATTAAAAACTTAAATAGATAAAAAGTAAAAATCTAATCTAGTAAAATAGTTAATCTCTAAGTCCCCGGCAATGGCGCCAAAAATTTGTTGCTCCCAAATGCACACGCAAGTATACGTGATCGACAAGTAATATAGGATTGTAAGTCCAGATATCGTATCCACAGGGACTTGTTTATTAACTATCAACTAAATTAAACTCATACAATTAATCTATTCAAGCGAATTCTAAAGTATGAATATTTAACTAAAGATAATCTAGAGTAGTAAACTAAGAAACAAATTGGCGAACTAAGACACGAATTCAATTGGAGAAAATATTCTAGAGCTATGGGTTAGCTAACAATCCCGTTGAGTTTTGTACCTAAACTGTCTAATTAATTTATCTAGTTTATTGATTGACGGGTTTAATATTGCTCGTAGCCTTCTTCCGAAGTACAACTCGCCTATTCAAGCTAACCTAACACCTATATTCCTATGGAATTAGGATTAACAAGAACGCATTTATAATTCCCGTATAGTAACCAAGTAAGGCGATTAAGTATATTCCTATCCTAACCGCAAATTCGCATCCCCCCCCCCCCCCCAGAGTTAAGATCTTGATCTACTCAATCTTATATGCAATCTAGAATTCCCTCTCCCGAGTTCAATCCTAGATTCGTAGATAGTATTCAATTGGTGATCAAGCAATCAAATAATTAAGCGCAAGATTGAATAAATAAACCAATATGATAAAATAATAAGAACAATTCAATCTTCAAACCAAAACGTTCATGTAGCACCCAAAACTCTAGAACTAATAAAATATGAGATTAAAAGAAGAAAAGAGAAAAAAAAAATAATTTAGAAGCCTCCTCCCAGCATGGTGTGTGTTCCTCCGCGTGAATTCTCCTTCAAAGCACGTTAGATCCCCTCCAAATTAGGTTAGGACTCCTTATATACGAGTTGGGAGGGTCTTGGACCGAAATAACTTGTCCCGAACGAAATAGGAAAAGTCTCCGCCCCGAGCGTCCTGACCAGCGCCTAGCGCTGGCCCTGGCGCTGGAGGCGGTGGCTATTTGCAATTTTACGTTCAAACTTCCTTGGTTGCCCTTGAATTGAATTGAATTTCTTTATTTGTCTTCCACTTGGGGGACAAAACCCAAAGGTGCCCCCCCCCCCCCCTATATTTTATTATTTTAATTTTCTTTTTTTTTCTTCTGCGTTTTATTCAATTTTGCTCCAGATCTTTTTATCTTCACACTGATTTATTCCTACACAGTTAAAATATAATATTTAACATAAAGTAATATAATTAACATTCAAAAGACAATAAAAAATACTAGAATAGAAGGCAACAACGTTAATAAATATATGCATATTTGGCCGAACATCAAACACACTCCTCCTCCTCTTTGGTATTGCCTTTTCCTCCTACTTCTGTAGCCTTTCTCTTTGTGCCTTTCCTAATTGTTTATTGATTTTTGGGTATGCCAATAGAGGTCAATCAATGTGTATGGATGCTGTCGGTTGGTTTTGGGGGCTTCTGATACTTATTTAAAGCATACAAAGACCACCTATATTTATAATAGTAAGGAAGACTAAAAATTGAAAATTTTATTTCTATATTAAATCAACTACAAATCCTATCTAAACATGAACTAAATACACAAATATCAAATCCTTTTCCTTCTCCAACTTTGAATTAACATGAACTAAATAATACACAAATATCAAATCCTTTTCCTTCTCCAACTTTGAATTAGTCTTCTAACACTACGTAAGACTCACAAAGCAAACGGAAGAAAGACAAATTAAGGGCTGCCTTTGTGAGTCTGCGGCAATGTCTCTACTTGCATTAAAGACTTTGGTCGGTAGATATGGAAGGAAATCTTTTCACGATGCAATAACATATTTAGAGAACAAAAATAAAAGACTTGTTAAAATTGGAAAAAGATTTGCTTGTCAAAAATCAGAATGTTCTTGTACAATTATCAAAACATCTTAGACTAACGAAAATCAGGGGTGCATCAAACCGTATCCCAACCAGATCAGGGTTGGACAACCAAAAATCTAAAGCTTCTTGGTTAGCTTCTCGAGCACGAGGAAGAAAATGCTGAATGAGAGAATGGCCACTTAAAGAAGAGTAACTCAAAAAGAATTGGCAAAAACTTTCTATTAAGAAAAAAGACGAGAACATTGATCAGGAAAAAATCTGTACAATATGGATAAATAAGGCTAGAAACGTGTAATCAGATTATAATTTTTTATCAACATTCTCTATAAGTATATCTACTTAGTGGTGTCCACGTCTGAGGACTGAAAAGAATCCTCCAGATGGTTTCTCCTTGCGACGATCATCTTCCTCATCTGCAACCTGTACCATATCAAGTGTTAATATGATGTCAATGTTTTAACGTATCTTCACACGACGAGAAGCTAGGGACTGTCGATATATTAAGAGCAAAGCCGTAATAAGTAGTTATATGACAATACACAAGTAACTATAACAATGAAGAAAAGAAAGGGCAGTAATTTTGGATGCTGAAGACTGGACGACAGAATCCTAACTTAACCACACATTAAAATTTCATATTATGGGTGTCAAACTTGTTGGACTTCACGAAGACTGACCATTCCTTTTGCCAACTTGATTTTTTTGGGGGAAAAAAGAAAAAAGAAACTAATCCTTTCACTAACTCTATGCAAGTGTGCATTGAACTTGAATAAAAGATCTGTGTTTTCACTAGGTCAATTTATTAATCTATCAATCATTCAGGTGTATGTATGCTCATTAGGTTTTTCACTGGCGCAACAATAAAAGATAGATGCAATTGCGTAATGTACAAGAAAATTACACATACCTCTTTCGCTATTTGCTGCAACATCTCTATTATTTCAGGAAAATCAGGTCTCGACGTTGGATCTCGTTGCCAGCATTTCTCAAGCAACTCAGCAAGTTTTGGATGAGTATTTTTGGGAATAATTGGTCGCAACCCCTGAAATCCATTAGAAAAGAAATACCATCATATATGCATATTTTCTTTTATGTCTCTGCATGCTTGTGTAAGCACAAGTAATATGCAATCAACCATCAGGTCGCATTTGATAATATCATACCTTCTGGACCACTCCAATGGCAGCTTGTAGTGGGGTCAAGTACTCATATGGAAGCTGATAGTCAAATAAAGAGATAAATACAACCAAACAACACAAACAACAAAAAGCAGCTAAATACCAAAATGAACAACCACAAATAATACCTTTCCTGTCATCAATTCCCATAACAGAACCCCAAAACTGAAAATATCTGCTTTGTGATCATATGGCTTGTGTTCTATAACCTTCAAGAACAAAGAGCTGCTATGAGCAAATGCAGGTAAAGTAACAGTTAATGAGGGCAAAGAAAATCTTCAGACTCGGAAAATTATAAAAGTAATTAATCACAAATTGCTACAAACATACACAAGTCAATAGAAAATAGTTAAGCCATCTCCTCCCTCCAATTTCATGCCCTGGCTTATTTTGGTACCCAAAATGGAGCTTAAATAGACATGGATGTTGACCTCTGTTCTGAGATATGAATGTACACCTCCCAGTATATATGTTACCATCCCCCCTACCCCCCCCCTCCCCCCCCCCCCCAAAAAAAAAATAAAAATAAAAAAGATACCAGGCTTCAAATTAATTCTTCTGCCATGGATCCAGAGCTATATAAACGGAAATCCATTAAAGTATGGAGATTCTTTGAAAAGAGAAATTCTGCATTAGAAGCCTACAGGCTGATCGAAAAGTAGTTTAACTGACCCTATAACCCACCAAAATAATTTTCTTATGCTTTTTAGAAAAATACATGGTATTTGGTCTAGTTCTCAAATAGATGTCATACCGGGTTTTGGACATGACCCAATTGGCCTATTCGCACAAAATGCTCATGCACATACTTTCTTTTGGGTAGGGCAAAGAAACTTGACAAAGATCTTAAGAAAAGGTAAGAAAACCTTGTATACTTGGTCAATAGGCTGGAACCTCTCTTGATAAAACTCATCGAGGTTGACAAACTTTGGACGTACCAGAATTTAATGGAGGAGGATTATTGAAGAGTTCTATACTAGATCAAGGGAAGAATTTTGCTTGGTTAATGGGTAAGTTGTTGCATAAATTGGATTACATACAAGTTACCAAAGAATATTACGATATGAGTGCTGAAACTGCTAAAACATGTAATATTTACAAATTGCATGATAAAAGTCAGTTGAAGCCACAGTTAATGCTAAAAGTCCAATTTGCAGCTCCCTTGAGAATCTGATTTTTCCCTTAAAAGAGTACCAGCCTAAAGCTTGACTCAGAGGTGTGTGCTCATAATCCATCACACTATTGCTTCACCGTCGGCTTTTTATCTAAGCACGATGACCAAGCGGGAATCAATAATTCCTCTTGCTCCCCCCCCCCCCCCCC